GGGTAAGGATTAAACCGGGAGGAGGGTTTTCCAGATGGCTCCTTTTGAGGCGCTGCTCTCCAACAGCTCCTGTTCCTTTTAAAGAATGTGGGAGAATGTTCTCTCCGGCTGGTTGAAAATAAAGGGTGTGTATTCCCAGCCTGGATAGCATTGTCCCTTGAGGGAATCAATCAGTTTTCTGTCCAAATGGGCAAAACTTGTCACAGCCTAGGAGAGCTTAAATCAAACAGCCTTTTCTTTTTCTGGTTCAAATGAATGAATCAGCTGCACATTCTCGATGCTTCCCTTGCATAAGCAGGTTTTACCTCTGTAATTGCATACACTCTGGGATGTGTGTGTGTTAGACACAGAAAAAATTATAAGTTTTCATGGAGGTGTCTCTTGAGCGGGTCTGAGTCCCTCTTGGCCTTGTTGGGCGCCTTCTCTTCTGCCGTCCACGCCACCTTAGGTGAAGGGTGGACTCAGGAGGAGATTCCTCAGAGCTGCTGTGGGCACAGAGCCCTGATTAATTGAGTATAAAATGTGTATTTCTTTTGTCCTCCCTTCCATCTCTGCATCTCCCTGCACACTGTTCTCTTGTCCAGAACTTCTTCCCTGGCAATAATCTGTTAATTTCTCCTCTTGACTTTTTAGGGAAGATTAAGAAGTTGACACTGTAGAAACAGATTTGAATAAGATACGGGAAATGGACAGCTTTTACCTTGCAAGCCTATGTATGACCGAAGTTCTGGGTGTTTCCAAGTCAGCACCCACGTGTTGGGTGTGTCCTGGGTGCAGGACGCACTGTGTTAGGGCGGAAGGAGACCGGAGGCTCTGCTGTTATGTCAGTCATCCTAACACCTGGGGGCGCCCGAGCAGCTGTGGCCAGGGACACAGGCCAGAAGCTCATCGAACTGCGTGGCCTTGGGGGAGGGGATGGGTAGCATTTGAAACAAGGGTGAAGGCTATAAATGGTGTCAGCAATGCAGCTGTGGGACATGGTCCTGAACAAGAATCCGGAGGCAAACATGGCTTCACTCCTGGGTGGGGAATGAATGGCGGGCATGTGTCCTGCATAACAGAAAGGAACTGGGGCAGGCAGGTGGCATCCTTTCTGTGGGGAGGTGACTGCCGAGCTAATATTTCCGTCTGGTGTCGTGGTGGTAAGCAAACACTGAAGCCAGGTTCTCAGGTTCAGATCCCCACAATCCCACAGTCATAGCTCCTGTGTGCGCTTGGGCAAGGTTCTAGAATTTTCCCAGCCTCATTTCCTCACCTGTTAAATAGAGGGCTCTGACGCTGATTGCATCGGCCCTGTGTGCCGGCCTCTCTGATGGACAGCGGGGGGTGGGGCCAGGAGGGGTAGTTGTGGGTTTGCATTTCTCGTGTCCCTCTCCCACCCGTCTGTCCTCAGTCACATTTTTCCTGTTCTGTCCCCAAAGTGCCAGATGAAATGCTTTGCGGCAGGAATCGGGACTCTGATCTCCGTAGTGTGGTTTCTAACTCCACAGTGACCCCTGCTGGGGTTTTGGTTGGATTCTGCGTAAGCCTGGTCTGCGAGGTTGGCTGCGCCTTTAAGCAGTACCTGCCGGTTGCTGCCTCACCTGGTTGAAAACCACAGCTCACTGCTCAGATGACAAGAAGGACCTGGGAGGTTTTCCCAGAGGAGAGGACGCGGTCCTGTGAGATAGGGACCCTTCAGGAGAGCGTGGTGTCCGTGCTGCTTCTCCTGCCCTTGGCTCCCGGCATCTGCTCCTCTGTCTCTTTTTTCCTTTCGGTTTGCCACGTGAGGTTCATATTGATCCTGGGCTGTCATCATCTGTCCGGGAAAATGTACAGAAAGTGGCAGATCCATGGCAGGTCCAGAAATGCCTCTCAGCGATGATCAGCACATTTAAAAACAACGGCACAACCCTTGCCGGTTTGGCTCAGTGAATAGAGTGTCGGCCTGTGGACTGAAAAGGTCCCGGGTTTTATTCCGGTCAAGGGTCCGATGCCTGGGTTGTGGGCTCAATCCCCAGTGGGGGGTGTGCAGGAGGCAGCTGATCAGTGATTCTCTCTCATCATTGATGTTTCTCTCTCTCTCTTTCCCTTCTCTGAAATCAATAAAAATCTTTAAAATAAATAAATAAATAAATAAATAAAAATAAAAACGATGGCACAGAAAGATAGGTCTTCCCTTGCTTGCCTGAACCTGTTTTTTTTTAAATTTCTTTAATATATCTATTTTTGTTTTTAACTACTACATAGGAGGATCTTTGACTTTTTTTTTTAATGCATGGAGTTCAAAGTAAAATCATCCATCGATAAGAACTTGAATGTGTGATGAGGATATAGAGTTCTGTGTAGTATTGAATCCGTATGTAAGGTTCCTGCTGTATAAGGTGTTTTCACACAGATGGTCTCCTTTGCTCACACATTTGTACTGTTAGTTAATAACCTGATGCAACTATATGAATAACACCTGCTTCCACGGAGTAGGACACGGGATCAGCAAGGGGCGTGTCCTGTCCGGGTCACCGCGTGCTGGTCGGGCGTTTGTGGCTGGAGAGTCAGGTCTCTGCTTCACCACCAGACCCATGTAACCTGGTCAGAGGAAAGCATTTCTGATTTACTTGCTAAATGTTCACTAGTTTTCTTTATAAATTGTTGGAAGTGCAGGTTAGCATGAGGTCATTGAATGACTGTGATGACGAAATTTAGAAACAGCCTGTTCGGAAAAGGCCGATGTTGGGGGATGATTTCTAAAAGGATATGCAGATGTGGAACAGCTGAAGGACAGAAAAAACGTTCCCCAGGATCAAGGGCTGATTTTTAGAAACGAGTAGAAATTAGGGAGAAGGAAAGTGTGCTTGGCTTAAGTGCGCTCAGGGGTAGGATGCAGGCGGGCATCTGTGGCCGTGGATGAGAGTGTAGCAAAATTCACGAGGATCATGGCTTAGAGGCAGTTAAGAGGCAGAGCGCGTAGTGGCCAGAACACGGGCCAAGGAGTCAGTTGACTTCCACTCGGCCTCCCTGGGCATCAGTTCCATGTGGGTTAAACGAAGAAGGAAAAACAGCTTGTCTGACAGCCCCAGAGGGTCAAGAGAAGCCAGAGGTGGAAGGAGTGTGAAAGGTTTATGATAAAATAATGCCGTAAATGAAGGGGATATGATTTCAGTAGTTTCCCTCATTTTAAAAAAATCAAGTCAGTCTGCATTTCCTTTTGGAATCTGAAAACAGGTCGATGAACTTCTGCACATGTGCAGCTCAGCAGTGGATGGTGCTCCCCGCGACCACCCATGGGAAGTCCAGACCTACATTCACTTCCAGGACAGTCAAGGCGTTACCGTGGTGATCAAGCCGGACCACAGGGTGGAAGACATTTTGACGTTGGCATGCAAGGTAATGGGTTTCGCTGCAGAGATGTAATTCTGAAGAAGAAGAATCATTAATGTCGCATCCCTATGCCTTCTGAGTCTGTGTGGTTTTCAGGCCTCACTTTCTACACCAGGGAAATAGTAACTTATTAATGGACGTATTTATGAGCATTCTCCGTGTCCATCTTTCAGAAGTCAGAATTGCTAGGGCAGGGCCCCTCATCTTCATGAAGAACCTGAGCTATTCACTGAGATTCTTTAAGTCCCTTTCTGTAGAGAATACATCTGAAGGCTGTTGTTATTTAAGTTACTTGGAGATGGTGCCCTAATCTTGGAAGTAGTTTGATTTGATCCTAAGTAGTTTTACCAAGTTTCACTGGATTAAACAAGTAACTTGATACCATTCGCAGTGGTTTCATGCAGACTGTTATGAGATGTTTTATTCATTATTCAAATTGGGCTTTATTTCTGAAAAGGTAGCGTATGATCAGTCACTGAGACAAAAACAGACTCAGCACCATCAGGTTAGATGTTTTTAGACCACCAGGTGGCAGAGGAGAGCTTAAATATTTTTAAGTTTTCAGAGAAAGTACAATCAACTATATGAAAAGGTAAAAAAGGCACGTAGAGCTTGGTAACTCTTTACCATGCACACTTAATAGATGTAGATGATCCTTAATTTCAGTCCTCCCTTGTCACTTTGATTTAAGCCTTAGTATACCAGACATTTACATATGTTACTCATGAATATGAATTTCCTTTTCCTTCCATTATGTAAGGTTTTTTTAGTCAGTCAACAATGTTGTTTTATAGCAATGATGCCACGTGTATGTGGGTACATGTTTTCCTTTTAAAAAAATTTTAGAGTAGGAAATTCCTAATTCTGAAGTCTATAGAATATGAGATTTTTCACATTTCACTAATTTCTCTGCTTTAGTAGTGGGAAACAACTTAAAGTTAGATACAACCAATATGTAAAGAGATAGCATGTGCTGAAATAGTACGTTGCAGGACTGGGCAAAAGTAGGATTATAGCTGTGGTACAAATATATAATAAATAAATAGCAAATAATAAATAAGAATAAGCCCAGTGTTTCACATACTCACAACTATAGCCCTACTTTTGCCCATCCCTGTATATTCTATTGTCAGATATCTGGGACTAGAACCTCTTAAAATATATATCTCTTGCTTTTAGTGATAAACAGTATCATTTAGAGAAAACTTTGAAAATAATTGTCTGTCTTGCCATTTTTAAATTCAAGCTCTTATATATGGTTTAAACTCAGCAACTTCCATATGGCATTTCATTTTTTAGACGTTTCCACTTGGATTTCTAATGAGCAGGGATGAATTTAGAAAGAATATTTACAACCTGAGTGACTGTCCCTTTCCTTCCAGATGAGGCAGGTGGAACCCAGCCACTATGGCCTGCAGCTTCGAAAGCTGGTGGATGAAAACATCGAGTACTGCATTCCCGCCCCCTATGAATACCTGCAAGAACAGGTGGGCGGGAGTCAGCCGTAGGACCAGAAGTCGGAGCCACATCCATGGCCTCCTAATTTAAAAAATCAGTAATTTGGAGGGTGGGGTGGGGGTGGTTCCTGTTTAAATTAGGCGTCTAGTTTGGAAACAGTCGAGATCCATTTCCAAGATTCCGTGACATCAGATCCCTGGCCTTGTTGTTTGCACCTTTCGTAGGTTTATGACGAAATAGAAGTCTTTCCGCTGAATGTGTATGACGTGCAGCTCACGAAGACGGGGAGTGTGTCTGACTTCGGTGAGCATAGCGACGCCCTTACTATTCTGTCCTAGTTTGCCATGGTACCTTAAGACCTAATTTTTTTCCCTTAAATTTTCATTTTCAGAAATTATGATAGTAGTTTCTGAACTTGCTTTATCTTCTTCATTTTTATTTATATTAGCAGACTAAAAAGGTAGGCATTGATACTAGGGTAAGAGGCCAAAGTAATTGAAAGGACTAAATGGGAAAGTTGATGAGAAATTGGAAATGGTGGCGATAGCACATTAATGAATTTGTGTGCCAGGTGCTGTTCTAGACTGATCAGCTCAGGATCATGTGACAGCTCTTTTCATCCCAGCGTCTTGCTCCCAGCTCACTTTCACCCGCCCGGAGTGCAACCCTTCCTGCCCCCTCCTCGTCCCTCCCTGGGGGTGTAAATCAGACCTGTCCTTCAAGAACTAACGGAAGGCCTAAGTTTCCTGAAGAAGCCTGTTTGATTGCTTTAGCCTCAGTTTAACAACTCAGGGTCAATACTCCCCAAATCACTTTGAAATGTGTAATTCTTGCCTTTCTGTTTATCTGTATTTAAGCTGGTTTTGAGCTCTCTATAGACTATGCTCATGTATAAAGTTCATTTCTGTCTTTCGTTCTGTCTTTTATCATAGGAACTCAATAATTAGTTAATCATCAATAGAAAGACTATTTCTTATTTTGTTAAATGTATTATTAATATACCCATCTTTCTTAAAATGACTCAAGCTGATCAAATTCTACTCACTGTTTATTATGTTAAAATTTCCTTTTTATGATTTGGTCTTTGTTTCTTATCACATTGAGGGCCAGCACTCTATCCATCCAGTATTTTCCTATCTCCTTAAGATGCCTAGCCTGATATACTAGTATATACAGTTATTTCTTAACAAGTATTTTTTTCATTGAACTGAATTTGGCTTGTTTCAATAAGAGTAGTTTTTGTTCTTAACATTAAAAAATTAAAATTGTGGTGAAATACACATAACGTTTGCCATCTTAATCATTTTTTAGAATGGTTAACAATGGCGGTTCAGTGTACATTCACATTGTTGTGCAACCATCACCACCATCCATCTGCAGGACTGTTTTCATCTTGCAGAACCAGAACTCTGTACCGATTAAAGAGTAACTCCCATTCTTCCTCCCCCAGCCCCTGGCAGCCCCCCTCATACTTTCTGTCTCTACACATTTGACCACTTTGGGTACCTCCGACAGTTATTCGTTCCTTTGAGCCTGGCTTATTTTCACAGAGTATTATGTCCTCCAGGTGTGTCCATGTTATAGCATGTATCAGAATGTCCTTCCTTTTGAAAGTGTGAGTAATGTTCCATGGCATGGACATACCGCAGTGTATCCATTCATCTGTGGATGGACAGGTGGGTTGCTTTGGCTTTTTGCCTGGTGTCAGTCACGCTTCTGTGAACATGCGTGTATGGATGGCCCCTGTTTTCAATAAGCTTGTATTTGTGTTTATTAAACCTTTAGATCTGACATGGTCCTCTTTTTCTGATCCTGCCAGCTATTTGTGCTTTCAAAATAGTTGTGACTTAGACCCTCTGCATACTGTGCTTGTAAGAATAGACGTTGGAGAAGACGCTGCTGAGCTGGGAAGTTGATCGGGGAGATGAGCTGAGGTTTGTGTTTCCCTTTCGCGTTTGTCCGCAGGGTTTGCCGTGACCGCCCAGGTGGATGAGCACCAGCATCTCAGCCGGATCTTCATCAGCGACGTCCTCCCCGGCGGCCTGGCGTATGGAGAAGGTCCGTGCGGCGCCTTCCCGCCCACTCAGACCCGTGCAGTGCAGTCTCCACAGTGCAGGCTCCTTCTTCCACTTGTGCCAGAAAGTGGTTTTCCCTAGAATTTTAAAGAAAGTACACTTAATAGTTTCATTGCAAATACATATGCATATGTGTGTGTACACTTTGGCAGTGTTTACTAAAATACCTTTCATTTTGAAAATGTCATAGAATCAGCTGTTAAACCGTGTATACATTTTTTGGGGACAGACACCCTGTACATACACAGAGAGCACATACATGCATATCACACAGACGGACAGAGGAAGATGTGAGAGCCAGACAGGCAGGCAGACACAGATAAAACAAGTGTCATTTCCCAGGGCACTTCACAGCAGAGAAATAAGGAGGACAGTTCATTTGAATGGCTCTCAGATCATTTCCCTTTCAAACTACTCCGTCTGATCCCAGCCGCGAGAGAGCGGGGATTTGTTATCAGTGGCATCCAAATACATTTCTGGCACTTTTCTTTTGAAGGTAGCAACTGAAAC